CTTTTCCTGGGAGCAAGTTATTTACAACTCTTAACTCAAACTGGGTAAAACCATCTAAAAAAGGACAATAAAAACAGGAGTAAAAAAGCAACAAAGTTTATTCCAGATCAGGTCGTTACAGGACAGAGAAAATGCTTGGAGCTTGCACAGCTGTGGGCTCAAAAACACGTCCGCGAGCGTCCGGCAAAGATTAAGCCCCGAACAAGATCATCTCCTCCTTCTTATACCTCATGAGTCCATGTTTTGCATCAGGTGGAAGCTCAGCTCTCCGTATCAGAAACTGACATGCCATCCATGCCCTGACCTGTATGCATCTTGCCTCTATGCCCAAGAATTACAGATAGCTCCCCTTTATCAGACCGGCTCCAAAATGTGCCCATATCCTATGTATTTCTAAAGACACGAAGGCTGTCCTGATTAGATGACCTCCATACACACAGTGACATCCACAATGAGAAAGAAGGCCTTCTACTCTGTCTAATCTGGCTAACAGAATAACAATGCACATGATGTATAAAGAGTAACTCTAACACTTTACCTGATTTTTAAAGAACTGGAAATTTAAAAAAAGAAGTCTAGACAAGCTTACCCATCGCAATAAAATAAACTTATATTATTACAACTATTTGTCTTCTGACATTGAAGTTGCATTAACCCCACTACTTGTTCAGGGTTGTCAAAACAGTTAGACTGGAAGCCTTCTATTCAATTAACAAGGGCTTCTATTATTCCTGCAGTCCCAGTGGTCGTAGGACCCTGCGCCCTGCGTTGACAGCCGCCTGCCTCTGAGGGGGCTATGTTCACAGCCATGGCAGCAAATCCTGGAATGTGTCCATGTGACAGGCTCTAGACCATTTAGTCTCATTTTTTAACATCACCACCAACCTCGCCGTGAACACATGCCTGAGTTTAAAGCTCTGTGAAGCCAAGCAGCTTGTTAATCATTCAGAGGCACAATCCAACGGTAACAAAAACTCTCTCTTTGAGGGGGGGAAAAGTTCCTCTTTTGCCAGAGTGTGGTTTGTTGTTGCTCTTTTATTTTTCCATTCTGCCAAACCTCTCCGGCACATTCTTTTCATCTAACAGCTCCATGGCCTTTACCTTCACCTTATTGTGCTGCCACTTTTAACTCAGTGCTGCGGCCCCTGCCCCCGATGTTAATGCCCTCACCACGGTCCCAACGGCAAAGGCATTACAATGGGCCAGTGTGTGAATGCTAGAGAAGCTGATGTCACATTGAAAGCATTCAGATTCACCCCTCCATGAAATGCACTATGTTTGTGCCGTTACTACCATGCAGCAGCCTTACGTCCAAGCCGCCATGCTGAGAGAGAAGTCTGCAAAGTGTGGTGGGAGGAGACAAAAAAATGTCCCTTATTAGATGCGAAGAAACAGCGTGGTAATTAGTTGGGTGGGGTAGGTTTGCTGGTACCAATATGGTTTTATAACCACAAAAAATTTCCAGTATGATGTTTGTTCCATTTAGAATCCTTGTTGGCCAAAGAAAAATTCAAAGTGACTGGACTCTTTATCAACTGTAAGGGGCCCTCCCCTACCTGTTGCTGCAGACTGTTAGCTAGCTTGAGGGCTCTTCTAAAAAACAGCTTTAGTGATAGTTCTTAATAAGAACAAAGAATAGCATGTGAGTTCAAAAGCTGACCACAGGCTTTGCAGGAGCTGACTGCCCAACCAACCAGCTAATAAACATAGACCCACCTAAAGCTTTGGTTGTGTTTTGTTTACCCTATATTTTCTAGGGTTGTAAATAATAATCGTTTTGTATTGATGCATCAATCCAACAGCCGACAATCCGATGCATCGACGCATCTGCAAGAGTATCGATTTGTTTTGTTTTTTTCCTCCGGTCAATTTTTATCCACTTGCTCCTGGATGGAATTCTAACTCCCGTGCTGTGGTGGCGCTAAACCTATTTTGCCCTCCTACCTCGCTTCCTTTAGCTACTACCCTCTTTCCGCATGCACATACACAGTCATGTAAACAGTAGGCAAGAAAGACAGGGTGGAGGAAAAAGAAGATGATGTATTCTTGAGTATCGAAAATAATCAAATCGTTGGGTCAGGAAATCAATACTGAATCGAATCGCCATGATGGGTGTGATTTACACCCCTAATATTTTCTCTGAACTCTATGATTAACCAGTATGTTGTTAGGTTTGAAAGCAGGTAAGTCAGTTTTCATGTAATCCATTTAGTATGTAGCTTTTGCATACCATGAAAATGCATTTTTATGTGAACTGATTCTAGTCCAATATAAGTTTTCTTCCCATTACAAGGAATTATTCCCTCCTACTGTTACCCATGCTTGCTCAAGAGAAATTGCTGCAAGGACCGAATCAGCTGGGCATTGTGAAATAGTGGAAACATTTTTACAATTTGCAATCTCAGTCTATTGACTTTATTTCAACAAGGATCAAATTGAAATCTATGTCATCAGATGATGAGAAGACTGAAAAGCCCTGAGCATTCTCTCCAGGAGACTGTTGGACAACAAAAGAGCTGCTTCAGTTGAAGCATTTACCTGTAGTTGGACAGACCACTACAGGAGATCCGTATGTCATGAAGCTCAATCGTTTAAATATATTTGAGCTGAACTGTTTATCTGTTGATTTGAAATGTAAAGATATGATGCAGGTTTATACAGTCGATCATAAACACTGTATACCCCATATCTGCTTTAGCAATTTCTCACAACTATCTATCATAAAAGAGTATTCTGGATTATTTGTATGTTGGTTCGAGCTACACTCCTTCTTAACACTTTTGTATTTCTTTTTCTCTGCTTGTAATGTAAGTCTGAAATCCCCAGCAGCACACAAACAGAAGAGCAGGTTTTGACAAGATCTGAAGAAAAAAAAAAAGCTTCGACAACAGTCCTGCAATGATGGATGGGTTTAACATAATGCACCTTTTTGGCTGAATAAACAAGTCCCTTGTTCACAAAAAAAAAAAAAGCGATGTTCTTTTTCCAGAAACAATAGATGAGAAGGTACAACATGAACCTGTAGTTATGTTCACCCATATCCTCAGGTGTCTTTCAACAAATTTGCGAATTACTTCAAACTCATTTCTGCCAGTCATGCCAGTCAACAACAGCGATACTAAGTTAATTAAAGCAAACACTGGTACATTTGGCAGTATGGGTAGATTCCAATCTGGTAGAAAGTGAATTTGGCATCTACGTCAAGCTTGCAAGCAGAAGGTAGCCTGGTGCTGACCTTTGTCCATTATACATGATAAATCCCAGAGGACCAAGAAGATTAATGGCACCCCTAATTTTTACTAAGTGGAAACTTCACACTGGATCTAAAGGAACTTGGGGTCAACACTCATGAATCTTGACTGCCAAATAAAATACAAACTTGATTTTCTGCAGAAAAAGAAAACAAGGAAATCCAGTTATTTGACTCCTGAACCAGGGTAAGATACTGACTGAGTAGCAGCTTAACAACAAAAGCAGCAGCATCTCATGTTCTTTAAACAGATACAGAGATTTTGATCCTCAAGCTGGAGCTTTTTTCGACTACTTTTTTTTATTATTTAAAGAAACATGATTGGTTAGTGTGCTGCTTGTTACTCTGAACAGTGTTTAATGCACTAATGATGATAATGATGAGAGTACTATTGATAAATATTCCACCCATTCAAGCATTCGACGACTGGTTCTTTTATTACAGTAGGTTTCTTTATTGATGCACTTAAACCACTAGCACAGCTAGCAACAGGATGGACCATGGACCACCATAGAACTAAAAACAGACAATAAAACCCATCCTTCCATCCATCCATTCATTTTCTGACAGGCTTTATGCCAAGCGGGGTTGCGAGGGGTACTGGTGCCTATCTCCAGCTGTCTACGGGCGAGAGACTTGGTACACCCTGGACAGGTCGCCAGTCCAGCACAGGACAATAAAACCACATCAATGAATTTACATCCACACAATCAGGTACAGCTGCGTTACACAAAAAAACCCCAAAACTGAATCCACAGCATTTACAATAAATATGTAAATTTCTCATAATTGTGGAGCAGCGGCAGAGCTACAGGTTATCTAATGATTGGCCAGCCCTACTGAGTAGGGATGCAACAATCCAATACATAGATCGGTTATCGGATCCGATATTACCTAATTAGCTGGATCGGATATCTGAGATTTGATATTAAGTATCGGAGATCCAATCCAATTAACTTTACATGGAAATGTTATTTCTTTCTTTGAGCTGCCAAAGTCTTCACTCGGATGGCAAGATATACGGTTTATCCATTCAACAGTTGAACTGGATTAGTTTCAGATATCTACAGATACCCTCAGCCCAGGTATGAGACTCGCAAAAAAACCAATCAGTGCATCTCTGCCACCAAGTGATCTGTTGTTTCTATCAGGAGGTAACTTAGCCCCCCTGGAAAAAACAGTTCCCCGCTAAACCAGTGGGGGGCAGCAGTGATACTCTAAAGAAATGTCTTGACTAATATCACTTTTTTTAGTATATTGACACTAAACAGACGACAAACATACACTAAGTAATTATTTACATCAATATTATGGCAGTTAATATAAATACAGAATTTGCACTATTTTTCTGAATAATTCTGTGTGTATTATGGGGAAGTTGAGTCTCTACAGATCATTTATGGATATTGTGCTCCTTTGTTTTCCTATAGGTTTAATGTGATTAGACAAAATTAGAGTAGACTGACCCTAAACTTTTCACTTTTCACCATTCAAAGTGGTTCCTTCCTGACCACCGCTATAAAACTTTTCTGGCTCTGCCACTGTTGTCTGTAGGCCATAATAAAATGTTTTTGGACAGAATAAACCAGTTTATTGATAATAACCTTTATGTTTCTATTTTAATCACCAAAAATAATATAAAGTAGTTTAAATATGTGAATTAAAAGAGTTTGCTGTGATCTCACTTATCCACACACAGCATAGGAGGATAAATATGTTAAATTTCATGATTGAGGTAGTTTTCACTCACCTCCATCCATCTCTGCGCCTCTAAATAAGCTTCCTCGCTGCTGACAGATGACTGCTGACGCCACTCCATCTTTAAAGTCTATGACTCCAGGTTATAAGGTCGCCTTAAAAAGAACAGGCTGAAAACAGGTGACCTGTGATCACATCTCTTATTCAGCCAAAAAAAAAGAGGAAAAAATGACTCCTATTGAAAGAGGGTGGAAGTTAAAAGGTGTAACAGGTTAGTACATTCCGTCTGCATTGCCTCGCCGCTGCTTTACCTGTCCTTTCATCCGACACACCTGCGCCTTGCCTCTTTTCTGCAAAGCTCCGATCAAGCAAAGGTCTTCAAAGTCTGTGTGAGCTCAACTTGGTTTGGAGCTGCAGACCTGCAGCAGGGAGGGGGCAGTTCAGAGGCAAGGGGCCGGAGATCTACCGTCCCACTGTGGCTCCCAGGTATACAGGAGGCGCGATTTCCCCAGGATCTCCCCTTCAGCAGGACCACCTGGGTCTACAGACACACTCAGCGGGAACACCCTTCTCTAAGATACGATGAGACTTAACTTGGTTTTTAAAACCAAATCAAAACAATAAAAAAGAAGGGAAAAAAATGCATAACTGAGCAAATAATAATAATAAAAAAATATCTATGATATGTGGCTGCTTTATCTAAAATAAAACAACATTAAAGAATCTGATCACCTGAGAAAAATCTTACGGTGATCGGATGTTTACGTGGAAATAGCTTTACTGCAGTGGCATCTGGTGGACAAAATATAATACTGCAGGGGAAAAAAACACCCTCAAATGTGGACCGAAAAAAAAAAGAATAGAAAAGCGCAACTTTGCCATATCCTAAAGTAAAAGTCAAACAAATTACATAATAACTGTTAAATTATAACACTGTATTGCTTATATGAAATAAAAAATAGCAAAATATGAAAATGTGTACAAGGCCTACGGTATATTTGCATCAATTTTATACTTTTTAATTGACCAAGAGACAAAGAGCTGGTGAAGGTTCTCAGTCATCCAGGTCATAGTTGATATAAAAAAAAAGAAAACCAATCCACTGGACTTTATTTCCAAGTTTGAAGACGTTTCGCTTCCCATCCTGGAAGTAGACATCGAAGTCTTTAGGAAATCCACTTACACAGACCAATATCTCAAACCATCCATCGAACACAAACTTTCAGTCATCAGAACCTTACAACATGGTGCTGAGCATTTCCCTACAAAAACGGAAGGGAAGCACAAAGAACAGAAACACATCAACGATATTCTTCAAAGCTGCGGATACCCAAACTGGGCGTTTGTCAAATCAGAAAGGAAATCCAAAAGACAGGCAGCAGAACATAACGATGAGAAGATCAAACGCAAAAACACCTCCATCCCATATGTTGCTGTAGTCTCTGAAAAACTCAAGAGGATTTTCTCCAAAGACAAAATTCCAGAACACTTCAAACCAAAACAAGACCCTTAAACAGAGACTGGTGCATCCTAAGAACAAAACCCCCAAACCAAATATGAGCGGAGTGGTGTATGCAGTTCAATGCAGTGAGGAATGCTTTGATCTTTATATTGGAGAAACCAAACAAACTCTCCACAGACACATTGATCAACACAGAAGAGTTTCCTCCTCTGGACAAGACTCTGCAGTACATCTACACCTTATGGACAAAGGAGATTCTTTTGAGGACCAGAATGTTCACATTTTGGAGAGAGAAAATAGGTGGTTTGAGAGGGGTGTGAAAGAAGACATCTATGTTAAGAAAGAAAAACCATCCTTAAACAGAGGTGGTGGATTCAGGTTCCAGCTTTCAAAAGCCTACAATGCAGCTATTGAGTTAATCCCTTCCCGTTATCATCACATCCCCACCCCCTGTACAGGAGAGTGGAGGACCTCATCTATTCAGCCAGGACAACAACCCCCTTTAATGACGACCTTTCAGACACTTAGATGGGTATGGGGTGTTGATTTCTAACTAAAGAAGCCAAATGACCCCCCCCCAAATGTGGACCCCTTCATCTGTTCCAATTTGCATGTTTTCAAAACAAAAACGAGGCTTTGTTGGGCTTCTGTATAAAACCTCGAACTCAACACTATTCCTGACATTTTGAATTAAAAACGCTTCCTGGATGGGAAGCGAAACATCTTCAAACTTGAAAAACAAGTCCGGTGATTAGTTTTTATATTTTTGGAAGTGACAAAGAGGATTTGCCTATTTAAAGACAATCACCTGAAGTTTCTGAACATTTAATTGATTGATTTAACTCTAAGGCTAGCATTTGCTTGAGGACATTCGTAGTTCAAATCAACATAAAACATGTTTGCGCCTGCAGTATGTTTACCAGCATCTAATTGACCCAAACCGAAATATAATTCCATCATTTTCCATACCTTCATTGATATTTGTCTAAGGTTTTCCTTTTTTAAGGTTATTTTATGCCAAATAAATTCAGAATACAGTTAGGGGAGTTGGTATCCTTTACATTTTATATGATAAGTTCTGTAGGAATTTCTACAAAATGATCCGATTTAGGTCATGCAATTTAACTAATATATTTTAAGTGTTGGACTGCCATAATGGGAGCCATTAATAACTTTGACAATTGTCTTCTATAAAAGTTACAGTGGCTTGCAAAAAATATTCATCCCCTATGAACCTTTCAAATGTTGTCCCAGTAGAACCACAAAATAAAAAACATTTTATTGGAAGGTAATATGAAAAACCAACAGAGAGTTATATAAAACTGAAGTCTAAGAAAATGATAAATTTCTTTGTGCTTAAAAAAACAAAACAAAGGAACAGGGCATTGTACATGTATTTAGCCCTACTTAGTAAAGACTTAATGGAACCTTTGCTGCCATTGCAGCTGCAAGTCTTTTATAAGTATGCCTCAACCAGTTTTGCATATCTAGAGTCTAATATGTTGGTCTTTCATTTTTGAAAAACAGCTCGAGCTAAGTTAGGTCGGATGGAGAGCATTTTGCCAGATTCTCAGCTGAGTTTAGGGTCTTTCTTTTTGCCCCTCTTCCATAAAGACCACATTTATGCTGTGAACAACTATTAAAAGCAGTCAAGGTGTTCGGTTTTAGTGCAGTTGTTGTGTATTGAGAGTTTAACACTTGTTTAGTCTAATTCAAGCCTGTTGGAGTTAGTACCTCCAAATAGTTGGTGTTAGTCTACTGAGTCTAAGAGTTGATTTTGAAATTCAATTGAATTTGGTGTATTTAAATATCAGCGAATCACAATACGTCATCAAAAGGCACCTTACAGACACATTTCAAATTGATCATCTGGACAGATAGGTTTAAAGTTTTCTATTTAAGAAAAAAAGCAGCTGTGACTGCATCAAGTCATTGACTTTGCAGGAAATGCTCCTCCTGGATGAGCATATGGATATTTGCTAGCATTGTGTTGTTGACTCTACAGCAGTCCCTGAAATGAATTTCCATTTCAGGATGATGGACTCAACAGTTCACTGAGATGTTCAAAGTTTGGGAAGTAGCCCAAGCCTGCCCTAAACCTCCACAACTGTATCCCTGACCTGCTAGTTTTTTCCACTCCAATATTCTCAAATCTATAAAATCTTCGCAAACTTTGACACAATCACAGAGCAGCTATACATCTACTAACTTTAGATTATACAAAGGTGGACTGTTGTTTGTGTTGGTCTTGCGTGTAGAATTCAAATAAAATATTTTTGTTTTGTTTTATAAGTACCAAAACTGGTGTGAATACTTTTACAAGCCACTGTATAAACTGGTTTAATTCAGGTTTTATGTGTTTGCTCCTATACCTCCATAGAGTTAGAGATAAATGGGATTTTTTTGGGAGGAGTATCACATGTATAGAGCTTTATCTAGAATTATGTCACTGTTTATGTATAACTAAATTAGTGTGGGACACTAATTAGCCTAAAGCTCATTTATAAAAGAGTGTTTTTAGGAACTTCCTTGTTGTTGCCAAGCAACTATTTTTCCCCAAAACTTTAGAACTTCCGGTCCCCGAGGCTGCTGAGACCCCTAAGTTATAAATGTCCTCTTTCAGACAAGTCCTTTCAGAGGGTTGAGTCCTTTTTGACTGCAGTAAGCGTTGGAAACAGGATGTTGTGTTGAGCTTGAATAAAAGTCCTTGAGATATTTGTATAATTCAACCATCTAAACAATTCTTGAAGCTTACCATTTTTTTTTGTTGAAAGTAAAAAAAAAAAGCATAGGAAAGAAAAAGTATGAAGTTCATGGATAAATCAAGGATAAAAAGAAGGTGCTTATTAAATTTGCCTTTTATTTGACTGATAATTACAAAAACGTAGGCACCGTCCACCTGCATGTACAGACTGGATGTTAATTATCTGTGTACAATCCTCTTTTCTAATGTAGTTCATATCAAATGAATGCAAAACATCATTCTTTAAGTGTTAAAGAGAATGAAAAGCAGATAGCAAGTTTCTCACAGCTCACCACTATGTGATTGAAGTCCAAAATAAATCCAAAAATTATTTAAAACAAATGGTGATTTATGTGAAGTTGAATTTCTTCCCTAAGTTAGCCTGAAACACACATACTGAGCCAATCAGATTCAAAGGCATTGATGTTCTCTCTTTGGAAGCATTTGAGCTTTTCCGATTTACTTCCTAAAATATTGTGGGGGAAAAAAAGCCCCAAAACAAAACAAGAACTGTTTTTTTACAACATATTCAGCACTTCAGAATGTTTGGCAGTTATGTTTTCTTTGCTTTCTGGTGTCTAAAGATACAAACAAAACAAAGAGGAGCTTCCTTTAGAATGAATCTTTGGACAGAGCGATGATGGTGAAACGGACCTCCTGAGGATCCCGAGCCATGAAAATCTTACAAACTTCTACAGCGTCCTGGAACACAAAGGAAATTAAATAAAAGTCTCACTCTTATATAATGAACGTTCTCATGTAGAAGATGTTTTTTAAAGATATTTGACAGTGTTTTACCTCAAGGAAGGTATCTTCGGTAGTTTTTCCATGGACAACAGGGAAAGGCTTCCGACCATCTGGGTATTAAAACAGTATAAATCTTTAAATTAAATTACCATCATGGCCATTGATCTATGCAAGTTTTGGTGGTTATTTTCTTATTTCTTCAGTTCTGCAAAGTTTTTAATTAAATTCCATGTTTTTTTTCCTCTTTCCTCATTTGTAGTCCATAAAACCAGGAGGTCAGGGATTATGCATTAAAGTTCCTAGAAAAACTCACATTTTTACATTTTTACGAGCAGTGATTTAAGAGAATTACTGTGAAATGTTTTCCGTTATGAGGATTTGTGTAAAAAAAGCATCTGGCAAAGGAGTTAACTTACCTAGTTCAAATAGTTGTCCTCCAACATTCACAAAAGCTATAAAATGCAGATTGACTTTCTCATCTAAACTTGGTGCCTGTGAGGAACAAGAATGCTTCAGTTAAATTCAATTCAAATGAATTTGATGAAACAAGAAATGTTGAAGTGACAACAGACCTCAGTTTGTCCCTCCTGAGCGCTGGATTCATGTGTGACACGTATACTCTGCAGGACACAGGAAAACAAACAGTGTCTCAGTCATTTGAAGTGTCCTTTATTGTTTTAATGTTCATGCTCTCTTCATCTTGGTCCTACCTCGTCTTTTTCCAGAAATGTGGCCCTTTCCTCAGGGGTCATTTTTGCAGTTTGTTCAAGAAATTTCTTAAGGGGTGAATCGGGCTCTGGAAAGGAAATATACAACTGTAAACTCGACAGAACTGCTCACTGTAGGAATGAGGTTAAATTGAAATTGTACTAAACAGAACTACAGTCTGGATTTTGTAATATGACACATGACTTTCCAGACTCGGCCTTGCAGAGTTCTGAGTCTTTTTAGTGATTTCTATAAAACACTAATTTGGCCATGAAAACAAGCATATTGGCTACTGTTTCTACAGCCGACAGAATCCTACCGTAGTTATTGTGTTTGTTGGCTTTTTAATACATACATTTTTGCTCTTATTCACAAACATTCCCAGATTTCTCTCAGAGAGCTTCTACCCTGGATGTTTAAGGATCAGAACGAGTGATTCTAAGCAAGGAGGCAACAGACATTTTATATTCTAGTGAGGATGAGTGATTGACCCTGTTGAATGCTTGACAGTCTTGCAATAGCTGTTTTTGGTTGATACAGAAAAAAATAAAACAGAGTACAAATGATAATATATAAAGATCTATCGATAGATCTATAGTTCAATAGTTTGGATATTTTGACTTGAAATTTCAATAACCTCATTATTGTTTGCTTCAGTAAAATACTGTATATTCCTTCTCATTATTCAGCCTCGCATCAACAAAACCCACATTACTAATTATGTAATTCATCAGGTAATATTAAATGGGTCAGTTGTCTTCATATTTATTGTGGTTTACTTTTGTTCCATGTTTTATTAATATTACTTGAGCCTTTCCTAACATTCTACAAAATAAAATAATAAAAGAAGGTATAATTCCTGCTAACATAGTATCGGGTCAATATCGGTATCAGGCAATTCTCAAAGCTGCAATAACTATATTGTATCGGGACACCCCTAAAAATTAACAACATGTTTCGATATATTTTAGACGTCGTCTGCGCTGAAGTTTTAATCCTGTTTAGTTTTCATCTTAGGCCATTTCTACCATTTCTTAAAAAGCTAGTAGAAAGCTCCTGTCCGTCACTCTGTCCCTCTTCCTGTCCACCACTCCGCAAAAGACAACTTTTGGAACTTTTTTTTTTCTAGGCAAAAACATATATATAAAGTTTTAAAAAAAGGAGAAATCATGAACAAGAATTAAAATCTGTTGTCTTTGTAAATTTTCTCCATGATTGATTAGTGTGGAAGTATATGCATCTTTATTGGTGAAGAATTAGTTGAATATTATTTTTCTATGGTATAACTACTCACATTTAGTTTGCAGTTCTAGCCAGTTTGTACACTTGTAAAGAACATCTACTTATGACATGCGTCTCTGTTGGCCAGAAGATTGCCAAACTGCTTCCTCTGTTTGCCTCAAACATCTCCTCTGAGTAACTCTAATAAATGCTCTTTTATTTATAAATAATTAATGCCATCAACAAGTAACCATGATTTATATTTATATATATATATATATATATATATAAATATATATATATATGAAAACACGGCAAAATCCTTCGTCATCTTTACTGTAGACAGTCTGCAGCCATGTCCCATCCTCGTTTTCCAGCCAACTTTTGTTGAAATTTGCATTTTCCCCATCCTCTAGCTTTTTCTCCACCTCAAGCTTTTTTTTCGAGCAGACGGCTTTATGAGAAACCTGAAGCAGTTCCGCACAAATATATCGCAATTATAATATATCTGACGAAATTGTTTTTATAAACTTTTTTTTTTAATAAAGCATTTTAAATACCACACTATTCACATTTAATAAATTTTAATGCCAAATAAGGACTTAATTTTAAAAATAAAAGAGTAATGACTTTTAATGACCCGCGGAAACCCTGCCAGAGTAAAGGAGTTAAAATAGAACTGCAGATATTTGAGTGTTGTATAAATCTTCAATTAGATACAACAAGGTTTGAGGCTGTAATGCAATAATTGTGAACAAGTCCAGGTGAAAAGTATCTATCTTTTACCTTTAATGTGATGCCTTATGTTGTCAACACTCACCAAACTGCAGGTGAGCTTGGTTGTTTGCAACTGCATGAATTAATCCGATCGTCCCACAGGCGTTCCCAATAGTTTGCTTAATAAAGTAGACATCAGGGGATACTTTGTGCCCTTGGCCTTTGAGCCTCTCCTCCTCTTCTTGCTTATACGCCTCATACTGAATGAAAGCATCAGAAAGAAAAGAAACAGACATTTATACTTCAGCCGGGATGGTGTGTTTTTAGACCACATAAAACATAAACACCTGAAAGTCAAAGAGTGCTAATAAATTCTGTGTGTTTGCTGAGTGGTAAGATATACTACATACCTTCTCTGTTACAGGGAAGAGGAGCAGCACTGCACACACAGGTCTTGGTACCATGCTGAGAAGCTCTGGATCCAACCCGTAGACATCCCCGAACTGCCATGATGGCTTCATACCCAAACAGCTGACAAACTACAAACACACAGAGTAAACTGGGCATGCAATATAAGATATGCTGAAATAATCTGGCTGAAAGCAAAAAACCCTAGCCTAGCTCCAACAACATGACAAAAATCAAAACAACTCTCTGACTGATCACTTACTGTTGTAAGGAATAACTTCCAATGTTAATACTGATCTAGGTGTCGACTATGGAGGAAAAATAATAATAAAACAACTAAATTAATTTAAACAGCCTTTCCCCATGACTGTGCACCATTTCTCGTCTTTTAAATTCCCATTAACCTGTGATCAGCGTCTTTAACGTGCAACTATAATCTTTTATTGTTTTACGACATTGCTGTGAGTGTAGCATCACTACAACGTGGGCCTTGCACATTTTAACACTACTTACAACTATTTAGTCTCACAACTACGGGTAAATGTACCTAAAACAAATGCACCTACCTTGGTCATGACCTGAAATAAAACAAACAAAGAGAGAAAAAGAGGAAATTAATGAAACGTTGCTTATTAGCAAAGCTCCCACACAGGGTTCAGCTTTTGTTCTTGTAGCTAGCCACCACAGTAGCGAATTCTCACATGCTTCAGAATGAATGGACCGAATAAAAGCTTGTAGATTATTTTAAAAAAAGGGAAATGGTACAAACTTCTGGATTAGACTCCAGAGGCAACCAGCGTGGAGAGTCCATGTTATGTGTCGTATGATATGTTGCTGCTAACGGCGTTAGGTCTGATTTACTACGATCTGTTTGACAGCTGGGATTCGCTTCCGTGTGTCCAATCAGTAGACGTTGACCTGGTGGCGACTCAGGGGAGTGAATAATTCCTATAAACCTTCTAGAAACACATACATCGCGGCGGTCTATATATTTAAAGGTAATTTTCATGATTTTTAATATTTTATGTAATACTTTGCATTTTAATATACCTCCATTGCTTCCATTCTTAGAAAAATAACGAGTTTTTTTCGTACCACCCCTTTATGAGTTTTACAATGGATCGTTCCAAAATATCGGGCGTTGCTCATATTTTCCGTCGTCATAGATTAATAATTTAATTATTAACAATTTGTTTTGTGATATATTGGTCGCCTTTTTTGTTTTTTTTATTTATTTTTTTTTTTTACTTATCTGGAAAAAACTGGATTATGAAGCATTTTGTGTGTAGCTGGAACTCATTTCCCACCACACGAGAGCGCTAAATATGAGCGCACTGGCATTGTACGTCAATATTGCCGCCATATTGAAAGTGGCAACTACAAACAAAAAATACTGTAGATGTCTTCTAATTTTCTTTTACTTTAGGGCTAGTTCTATAGAACAAAACATTTTTTTTTACAAGAGGTTAAACCCGGATTATGTATTTAGATTTAAACCATGTCATTTTTTTAAATTCCTGATCTTTTCACGCTTTTTCTTGCAAAAATCTGTCCTTTATTTGGCTGCTATCACATTTTCCTTCCACTTATCTTTCTAGAGTGCTACTAAACTCTACCAGCTTATTTAAACGAATATGTTTTTTTTTTACTTTTTTGGTCTGCACTTTTTTGATGGTCCTAGTGCTGTCTGGGCAGCCGGGCCCACCTAAGATTGTGTGAATGTTAAGATAATATTGGCCTTTTTTAAATTTCCTAATTGACAAAAATGTGAATTATCATACAATTTAAGCTCTAATAATCAGAATTAAAAAGACACCGCAAGTAGAAAGTTTCGCCTTGTGTAACAAATTCTAATACTAAGTTTAAAGAGAGTAACATACATTCTGAAGTGACGAATTTTGTTTGATAAAAAAAGCCACTGTAATTGAAATTACAGAGCATCCTGCACAGCAGCTGGTGCTATGTAGCTTTTAATTTTTTTGGATATATATATATATATTATACTATGCCAATATATGTACAAATAAATATGGCACTTAACAACAATTCAGAAGTAGAATAGAGAGAAGAAGAATATCAAGTCAACACCATTTAAAGAAAATAAAGGGGGGAAATGCTCAAAAATGGGGGGGGCTGTATGCTCCAGAATTCATGTCCATTAGTGAGAAGTTCTATCAACATTTTACACAGGTCTTCATATTTTTTTTATATTTTAACGAGATTTCAGATAAAACAGGAATTCTGAATAAAACATGTCTAAAAACATGGTGCTTGTTTTAAGAATCTGTGTTTGTGAATTATTTATTTATTTTGTTTAATATGATATACACCCGGAAAAACTACTAGTTTAGATAAGTGTTTTATTTTCTATGACCTGAAGGGGGCAGCAGTGCACCAAATGTGCCCAGACTACCAGAAACCAAGAAAGAAGAAGAAAACTAAGGAAGCAGTTGTACACAGAAGAATGACGCTTTGCTAAAAGTTACAGATAAAAATAACTAGGTAAAATAAAGATAGAGTTATTAAGAATAAATCATAGAAACAAAATCGTCCATTTGCCTGTTAACGAAGATGCCATCTTCAGAGAAATCCTACGGTGAGTTTTTAACTGATCGGACAGGATCAGAATGTCTGAAGACAGAAACAAGATAAACCTGTGAAATAAAGATCTCCCCGTACATTATTTCAACAAGCTTTCAGCATTAAAGAGCAAAACCCGATTTATTTGATCACTCGGATATTTTCTTTTTCTTTTGATTCCAGCTACGGATCAATAGAACAGAAAATCCCTTTATTGTCCCGCAATGGGGACATACTGGTGTTTACAGCAGCATAAAGATTATAGAAAAAAAAAATTGTCACACGAATTTGTTCCTTAGAAAATTGTATAAGAATAACATCATAGTGAAGAGTTAAAAAAAAATACTGTACTGTAAAGTGTTTAACAATATAAAGCTGTGCACCTGGAGAATAAATAACCAATATCCAGCTATGGACATTTTTACAGTAATGGAAATTTGAAAACAGCAGCAACATCAGAGATGTGCAAAATGACAGCAGCATGTTAATCAACTGACTAAGATAGAAACTGTGCAAAATCAGCATGCATGTAACAACTTATTGAGGTTGTTGGGAACAGTGGTGGTTATAAAGTCTTCCAGCTGCTGGAAGGAAGGATCTGTGATTATGCTCCCTGGTGCATTTAGGGTGCAGCAGTCCATTGCCGAAGGAGCTCGTACATGATCTGTCATATTGTACTGAAAAAAGACCACGTTCTGTCTCTGAATGTTTTTTATCCACAACAAATGTAATCTTAAAGCACTTTACCAGACAAAAAGAAATCAAGACAAATATATATTTACACAGGTACATCTCTAAATATTATGATATTGTAAAAAAAAAAAGTCTATATTTTTATCACACATAATAATATTTCCTTTATTATATACATTAACTATGCATCTTTTTAGAGGCCAGATATTTCTGTGGGATATGGCCTCTATGTTGATCTTGTGTAATCTTAGATCATGAAACACTGACTTTGGGGTTTTCGTTATCAGTTAGCAATAATCTTCTAAAATCGCTTGAACCAAATAAACATTTTAAATGTTATAAATGTTTCATTGATATGCATCAATTTCCCTTTCTGAAATGTGTTACAAAAATGTTTGAATTCTAAATGGACACATTAACTTACATGTATTCTAATTTATTAAGTATGATTTTGTGAAATTTATTATTGAAACTATATCCTATCAACCAAAATTAACCCTGCCGAGTTGTTTTGGCCATATTATTCTGCCCCCTGTACCTTTCCATCCACGCACCTGCAAACCTCATGCAGACAGATGACCCAAGGGTTTCAAATCAAAACCAGGACCCTCTTGCTATAAGGCAATAGTGCTACAAACTGCACCACCATGCAGCCACACAATTTATTCCTGTTTTCTCAAAAGAACCTGGATTGATTGTTGAAACAACGGTTGTAGTTTTAAATTGGAGCACAGGTCCGTCATAGTTGGGGTTAGGGATACAGAGAATGCTGATTTTTAACAGCGATATGGGGTCGATTCTTAGAGAAAAATATTGTATTTTTTTTTCTCCTCTGAATACAAGATAGAAATGACACAATGATAGCAAATATTAATCTCAATTTATACAAAAATCAAACTAATCAAACAAAAATTAACAATTGATAGCTAATGGAAGGATGTGGCAATGCATGCCCTTCACGTAACCTCAAGGCATGGTTGCTGAATGCACCAATGAATCGGCCAATGCATGCACATATCAGCCGAAACAGATGCTGGAAAATTGACAAACATTGACCTAAAATATTGGCCAGTTGATGTACGGGTCATTCTCTAGTAATTTAAGCAGTCTTGCAGTTACATGGATTTTTTCTTTTTTTTCTTTTAACTCAGTCCAGAAAGTGGGTGGGACTTGCTTTGAACACTGCTTTTCTCTCTTGTTTTTTTTTTAAAGGCACCAAGAATGTTGCAGACAAAATCTGCAGGCTGCCTCCGGATCTCTTAACCGAAACAGTGAGTAACATTAAGAACCATCGTAAAAAGTTTTGCATTTCAGTGTGGGAAATAAAAAAGCATGCCTGCTTTCATTTCTTCCACATATCATTAACATCCATTAGGAAACACATTGCTTCCAAAGGCAGAAATTAAAAGTGACTCTCTAAAAGCGTCTGGAAGATTTGCTGCATCATGCGCTGGTTTGCCTTGATAATGGTTAGATATCAACAGGCTTGAGACGTGTTAATTAATTTTTTCTTAGATCAGCTACTCTCTTCAGCATTTAGTCAGGATGTGGCTTTGGAACGTTTGAGGTTTAACTGCTCCTCTGATAACTTGTCTTTAATCTTCACAGTCTCAGCACATTCTGGCTTATCTTCAAGGGCAAACCAGTGGGGTAGATTCTGCTGAAATTTCTCATGTGAGTCCATTTTTTTTTCTTTCTCCAAATACCCTCTAACCTCTCTTCCTTAGCTCCCCTTTCCTAATAATTTTTTTAATTTCATTTTATGTTTATCATCTGGACAGAGATTTCAGAGGGCTGGAGTGAGTCTTCATCATGAAGCTGTTCAGAGCATTATCAGATTTCTTCTCTTGACATTCTGGTAATAGTATTCCTGTTTTTATTCTGACTAAACACTTGCAGTTAATTTTCTGATGTTATTTAGAAGGTGAAATTGTCCTATCATGCAATGCATCATCATATCAGATGAAACAACATCTTTTTTTTCTAGGTCAGCTGGAAAGAACAACCTCTCTGCAGATGACTTTGTGTCAAAACTCGAGGAAAGCTGCAGCAAATGGTCTAAAACCTCTCTTCAGGTCTTACAAACGCTGTGGAGTGAACATGGTGCCGCCGTACATGCTCAGCAAGAAGCACAATCTGTGCTCAGCATTGGTCAGGTAAGCCATCATTTCCAGCTAAAGAGTCTTTTTCAAAAGGCCTCATAGCTGTAGAACATTTCTTTCACATATTTTTTTCTTCCAGCCACAAACCTCAAGGTTTCTTTTCTGGCTTTTATGTCAAATTTGAACATTAATTAGCGTGTTAATGCAAAATACAACCAAAATAACACGTTGTTTTTGTTTTTTTAACAAATAAAGCTTGTGTCGGTGTTTGCACTTTGTAAACTCGCTTTTAGGAGCTGTTGAAGCTTTCAGACCTTTGGAGTAGGTCTTAAACTACTCTGCTTAACTTAAGACTGATGTTTTTGGCCATTCTTTATAAAATAGCACAAGCTCAGTCTGATTAGAAGAGAGTACATCTTTATGTTTACCTTCATCCTGCTAAAAGCTTCAGTCTTAACAGATATACTCTCAGAATTGATTTTTTCGCCATCTATCTTCCCATCACCTCACAGCAGCTACCCCTGGTCCCCATTAACGCGATAAATTTCCCACAGCATGATGCTGCCACCACCACATTATGCAGGTGCAATGCACAGTGTTAATTTCCTTCATACATATAAACTCTTTTTTCTGCAGTCTTTTTCTTTCTATTATTACATAATGTCCAGATGTGTGTATGTGCAAATAACAGTTGCAAAGTCTACAAATTCTCCCAGCTGAGTTGATAATCTTTGCAACTCCTCTACTGGTTCTGTTGATTTGCTCCTTCTCTGATTAACGCTTTATTAATGCTTAACCCAGCTGGTCTGTTAAGGTGTCATGGTTGACATGTCTCGGTAGGCTTGCAGTTTTGCCATGACTTCCATTTTCAAGTGATTGGCAGAGCGTTACTGATGGGTTTAAAGCTTTGGATACTGTTTTATTTATTTATTTATTTATTTATTTTTTGCATAAACCCTCTAAACTTTTCTACATCTTCCTCAATGAGCTCTGCTGTGCTATGAATACCTTGGTCTTCATAATGCTGTTGTTCATTAATATTCTCAAACAGACCTCTGTTGCCTTTGCAGAAGTAGATTCATACTGCGATCACACACAGGGCGTTATTCAGGTGACTTCTGAACGGTTGATTGACCTGGATTTTTATTTAACTCTAACTGATTGTGTCTGTAGGTCCATGCATCACTTTCCTTCCACAGATAGATCTTTTCTGCTTTGTGTTGGTCTGTCAAAAAAAATCTAATGAAATATTTCAATGGCAGTAGTCTTTAATTTGGCGATTTATGGAACATTTTTATCTAAGGGGTAATACTCCTTCAAAGAGGTTCTGATAATCAGATAACCCATTAACCTGGTGTGTACCCTGTAGCTTGTGGACGTGCAGTGGAAGCTGGGGATGGCAGTGAGTTCGGACACATGTCGCTCTCTTAACTCGCCTTACGTTTCGCTGTTACTGAAGATTGCAGAGCCTTCTGGACAGATCCAACAGAGGGCTTTTGAGATGACTATTCCACAGTTCCAGGTAAGCTGACAGTAATTTTGTTTCATATTCACTCAAATAAAATACTTTACATTCTGTTAATCTTTTTTTTTTTTTTTGCTTGCTTTTTCCTCAAGAATTTTCACAAGCAATTCAAGGAGATGGCAGTGATTATGGAGACTGTATGATGGCGAGAACGCCTAAGTGGGCAGTTAGAAGCAGTTTATATAAGACTGAACAAAAGAACAGCTTGATATGTCTTTTCTTTCTCTACCTGGAGTCTTAAAATGTCGATGTGACTTGCTGGAAATGTCAGCTCTCAGCTTGGCTCTCTACAGGTTGTATAAGCTCTGACATGATGTACCTGCAGCACTTCCAGATAAGAACGGTTGAAATAAGCAGCTTTTAGGGTTGTTTAGTTTGTTGTAATACTTAAGTGCAAAACCTTGAATTTTGCCACAGCTGTCAGGTTTTCCTAATGTGACTGATTTATCACAAACTGCAATGCTTTTTATTTGTGCACTCCAGGCATGGATGTTTTTTTTTTAAGTTAAAGGATTGTCCTGTGGTTGTCTTTCTCAGTGCAAGCATTCCTTTTGATGCCTTTATGAAAACACTGTACATAACCTCTTGTTATACACTTTACAAATAATAAAAACTGCATTTGCAATTTTTTTTTTTGTGTCTTTAAATATATTTATTTACTGCATTTTTCTTTGTCTATTGAAAAAGTGGATATCATCTAAGTTCATTTGATTTGGTTTAGATATCAGATATTGGCAGTAGGTGTCACCTTCCCATCTGTTTATTGCCTTTTTAATTTGGCTTCATGTTTGTGAGCTCCAGATTTAAAGAACATTTTGAAAATGTTATGGTTAAAGCTCAGAAAGACAGACAAGGACAATGGGGTTTGGGGGGGTTTGAGATTAGATAATCGTGAAAAAAATAAATAAGTAGATGATTTCTTTGTTTCAGAATTGTTAAGTGGTCCCAAAGGTATTGTACATCCAAAATATTTGATAAAGTATTCTTAATTTGTCAGACAATGGGATTTAAGTAAAATATACAATATATGGAATATGAAATTTGTTTCATTTTGTGGGGAATTACTGCGCTCATTGGTCTACTACCTTGAACTCGCTCCTTTATATGTGCAGGTTCACAGATTCATGATCATTCGAAGCTGGCTTTAGTCAGTAAGTTAATTATTAGCTTCATGGTACCATCCATCCATCCATCCATCCATCATTCCATCCATCCATCCATCCATCCATCCATCCATCCATCCATCCATCCATCCATCCATCCATCCTTTTCCCCTTATCCAGGGTCAGGTCGTGTAGGAGCTTCAGTAGGGAGGCCCAGACATCCCTTGGGACAGCTCCTCCAGGGAAATCCCAAGGCGTTCCCAGGCCAACTGAGAAACATAGTCCCTCCAGTGTGTCCTTTGTTTCCCTCTAATCCCGGGGGGACATGCTCGGAACACCTCACCAGGAAGGTGTCCAGCAGACACCCTAACCAGATGCCCGAGCCGCCTCAAGTGGCTCCTTGACGTGAAGGAGCAGCGACTACTCTGAGTCCTTCCTGGATGACTGAGCTCCTCACCCTGTCTCTAAAGGAGATCCCAGAAACACAAAGGAGAAAACTCATTTTGACCGCTTGTACCCAGGATTTCGTTCTTTCAGTCATGACCCAAAGATGAGGGTAGGAACATAGATCCAACGGTAAATCAAGAGCTTTGCCTTTTGGCTCAGCTCTCTCTTCACCACAATGGAACGGTACAGGGCCCGCTTCACAGCACCAAAATGGATCCCCTCAACACATTGGCTGCGCCTAGAAATTCTGTCCATAAAAGTAATGAAAACAGAATCGTTGGCAAAGGGCAACCTTAGTGGAGTCCAACTCTCACCGGGAACGACTCTGACTTACTGCCAGCAATGCAGGCAAGGCTGACATCGGTAATACTGAGGGTACTCTGGTACTCCATATTTTTGGAACACCCCCCACAGGACCCCCACGAGGGGCATGGTTTAATGCCTTCTCCAGATCTACAACACACATGTACACTGGTTGGGCAAACTCCCATGCACCCTCCAGAATCCTGCCGAGGGTGTAGAGCTGATCCAGTGTTCCTTGGCCAGGACGAAAACCCCACTGCTCCTCCTGAGATACGGAGACCTCCTTTCTAGAACCCCGGAACAGACCTACAGGCTTAAGAGTGTGAATATATATGTAGTAATTATTGTCCCTCTCAAAGCTGACAGCACCACACACATATCATTGACCACTTGTTCAGTTTTCGTTCCCCTTGGTTGATTATCTAAACATTTTTTTTCCCTACCAAATTTTATTAATATTAGAGTTGACTTTGTATTGATAATGAAATAGTCTTTATAGAATGAACCATGGATGTAATCCATTAGTGAAGTTGTGTGTTTTAACCCAACCCGAGGGACACGAGTCTCAAAACTGACAACTTTGGCTTTGCAATATAGCAGAACTACTTTTAAATGCATTAATGCATTAACATGTGCTTGATTCTAACCATCATCTACAGGACAAAAAACAACAACCCTCTCCCTCCAAATTATGTGACCTCTCTGTTTATGCAAACCCCAGCCATCAAAAAGAGATCCTAAAGAAGAAATGCTGTGAGTCACACCAAACCACATCAGGTGTGTGAAATAGAAAATAAGTCTTCAAAGCATCGCTATGAGTTTAAAACAGTGTTCAAACACTGGTGTTGCATTCAGACTGAAATTTTAATTGCTGCAACTGCACGGCTGGATCTCTCTGTGACCAGGGCATCTGGCGGTGCCAGGGACGACCCTGACAGCAGAGGAGACAGACGTCTGTGAGGAAGAGGTTGGTCGAGCAGATCTGCACAGAGAAGAGGGAGATCAGTCAGATATGAACGGAATTAAAGAAATGGGTGTGGAAGCTCAGACGATATTGACACTCTGGTATCCACAGTTCAGATGTCTGTCATTATTTTGATCTTGCCTTATCTGGAGAAACCAAATTCAGCCTTACTGCCGTTCCACAAATGGTGGTTTACATTAATGAAGCTAAAACTCAACATTAGTCTGCTGTATCTATTGTATGTATTCAGAGTTCACTAAAACACAGTTGCAAAAACATTTTCCAATCTGATCACCTTTTTGAATGTTAGATCATTTCCTGCTACTGTATTTTGGCCAGAAAGAGATCAGATAAGGAGTACGATGCCCGAAGTATTTAAAGGTACATTTCCGGATTGTGGTTTTATCATGGACGTTTTTTTTTTTTTTGTTAAAATTTTTATGGCACTAGTGGCCCTTTTTCTTTGACAGTAGGCTTACAGGAAAGAGTGTATGTGAGAGGGGGAGAGACATGCGGCGAAGGACCATAGGCCAAACTCGAACCCGGATCGGCTGCGTTGAGGACTAAGGCTTCTGTACATGGGTCATGTGCGCTATCCTATGCGCCACCTACACGCCCATCATGGACTGTTCTGAGGTGTTGACTAAAGACTTTTCATAACTTGATACAAAACCCATGAACAGTTCACATCATACAAGTCACAATACTATGGAATATTTAATTTCAGCGATACCCCAGGGCTTCATTAATTTCATCTTCAAAGGATGGGCTGACCGCACATCTGTTTGGCTGCTAGCAGAGAGCTGTGGCTACTTGGACAACCTCGAGATACAGTCCTCGCAAACAAAGGCTTTAACATAAAATACATTGTTGCCCTACGTGGTGCAACATTGACCAATCAGGGGATGACAAAAGATACCAAAAACCCATCTCAAGAGAAAATCACTGATGATAAAAAAGATTTTGTCTGTTAGAGTATGTATAGAGGGAGCTCTGGACAATCTAATGCAAAAATACCCAATCTTAAAGAGCAGCATCAAGCTTTTACTGACCGATCAAACAGTGAATTTGTCAAGATTTGATAAGATTTTAAGAGTGACTTGTGCTCTCTGTGATATATGTGACCCTGTGGTCCCATTTAGTTAGTTTTCAGTTTCCCAAATGCAGTCGACTCAGTAGTTTCTCAGCTGTTATATACAATACTTCAACTATGCCTTCATTTCTGTAATTAAAAATAACAAATTACTCCAGTAGAACTTTTGACATTGTTTTCATTAACTGGGGTTTTCTTCTGTTCTGTTTGGAGCCATTGCTGCGCCCAGGTCAAAGTTGAAGGTAGTTAAATTTTGACTCTCTAGTGCACAGTGATAAATAGTTGTGCAGTCAATAGATATGGGTTCATCCAAGCAACCAGTCAATCTAAAAACACAGCCCCTGTACAAGCTTTGCTTTTTTCCCACTGAGGCCAGAGGAATGGCCTCAGTGCAATTTGCAGAGTTGCGGCTGGGCCTGCAAAAATAAAAACAACAAATGAATTAACCATATGATCAATTTAAATGAGGTTGATCCCTCTCTTTCTATGAAAGAGTCTAAAAAACAAAATATTTCACTGGTGCATCAGCTTCCATTCACACCTCATGGCTGAGAAGTAGCAAGCCAGAGAAATGCTGAGGTTTGTTAAAACAGAGTTGGAATAGGTTAGGTTATCTGTTGACCCCGCAGAAAGCTCATATTTACCAGAATTGGGAAATTTGACCCTTATAACACCCCTATCCTTTGACTCTTTTTCAATAGGAAAGCAGGCTGAACAGAATGATAAATTATTAAGTTTGATGTTCAACCTCCATGGCCATTATTTTATTTTGGTTTCCGCTGATCTAAAAAAGTAAGTTCCATTTACATTTCTTGCCATTTATTATTATTTTTTATTATTATTAACTTAAAGGTTTAAGATCTGTATATATATGTTGAAACATCTGTCCAGATGAATATGTATGCAGATAATCTGCACTTTAATTACCGTATTTTGTTTTTGATAGGACAGTAATGCAATGCTAGGACAACCTTCCCTCAATGGTTGATCTCAATTTTGCATCTCTAATAAATGTGAATCTCATTTTTAATGGATCTGTTCATCTTTTCCCTTTTTTTTTGGATGAAATTGAAAACTATGTTAACTGAAAAAAAAAAGTGTAAAAAAACAAACCACTGGATTGTTTTAAAACTTTTTTAGAATGACTATGACCCCGGATGACACAATCTTCACCAGCATATGTTCATTTAAATCTGTTTGCTGGTTCTGTATTGAAATAGCATATAAATGTTTATGTTCAGAGACATCTCCAATCCAATTTATCAGCTGAAATTTCTTATTTTAAAACCTATCCTATCTAGGAATGATATTTGAATTTTAGGAGATGCTAAAACACTCACAACTTTATTCCTTCAACACTTAGATGCAACCCAGTTCTGTATCAGTTGTTTATCTGGATCCTTCATACCTGGAACTAAAATGCACACAAAATGTGTTCCCTGTGGGGGGTGTCGAGGCTGCAGGCTCTGTTAGATGATTGAGACTAGGTTAGATATGGCAGTGGTTCTATTTTGGGATAGGTGGAGTTCTAGGAATTATGTCGTCTGGCCGATGGGATATTCCTGCTGCATACAGCAGCTGCGTAATACTATGATTCAGCAGGGGTAGCTTGTAAACACTGAACTCATTTACTTGAGTAGTCATAAGCCTCTAACGCTGGGCGCCTTAAAAACCATCTTCAGCACCCTGGGATAGAATTACAATCAACGGAAGTCCTTAGGAGCTGTGCCAAAGAGGCTACAAACATTCCTCCTATTGCCATGGGAAAGACTTTCCATTTAACAGCTTCTGTATTGTTGGAGAAAAGGTGGAGCTCTGTCCTGTCATGCTCTCTTATGGCAAGCTGGGTTATCATTTAACAGCCAACTTAAATAGGTGTTAAAAGGAAGGATTTTGACTTTAGAAAGCAAGAAGGATATTTTCAAACTGAACTGTGTTTTAGACTTTAACCTCCTAAAAAGGTTTTATTTATACGATGAATATCCACTATAGTTTCTTTTTAAGGCAAGGCATAGCAAATTTATTTATATGGCATGTTTCAGTGGCAAGATAATTCAAAGTGCAGTACATGAGGGGGGAAAAGTACGTTGCTTTACTGTGTCATAGATAAGCAACAAAAAATTATTAAAGAGAATGAATTTAAATATTAAAATAGGAAAGTTCACTAATAATGTTTGGATAGTACAGCCGAAGGCCACTGTAAACAAATACATTTTAAATCTATTTTAAGTTTTAGGTTTAATTAGGCCCATTGTTTTTAATCATTGCATATTTAGTTTTCAGTGTGCAACGCCTAATTGTTTCATATACTGTATATTTGGGATACATGGATGGATGGATGGTTCTACGTAACTAAAAAGCATTTAAACTTAAAAGTATTCAAATAAAGACAGAAAAGAGTTAATTTCAGATGACAAAAGGTACTAATGAGAAATAATTATTCTGATTCCAGGTTAAATATTTGATATACAAGTTTTTTTCAAGTAGGAATTTCCTTTCAAATAATCGCATAGCTTATTCTAGGCTAGCAGAATAAACTTGTTTATTTGCATCTGAAAAGATATACTGATGTATAGGAGCAGTGGTTTTTTGGCCCTAAGACAGAGACGTTGGTTATCAAATTTTGGATCAATTGCAATCTTTTATTTGTCTTTAAAAAAATATCCTCCACAATTATTGACATCCCTGGTAAAGATCAGTCCCTCTCCAGCCTCGTTTCTCACAGTTCTATTTGCTCTCAAGTTTTTAATGCTAAAACCGCAGATATGGGCCAGTTTAGGGGACTCATTCACAAATGCTCTTGTTGAATCATCTGGATCAATACAGATCTGTCTCAGTTCTATGGCGTACTTATTTGTTTTTCCTATTTTTAAGATTGGCTAAAAGAAATAAGCTGTGTTAGAGTGTATTAATTCTTAGGGAAAACTGAGGATCAGGATTTATTACTTAGAGAAGAGCTAATAAATAGGAAGGGTACAGTAATACCCCCGTAGCTATAGTCAATGTATAACTATCAGCTAATTTGCTACTGCTGTTGTTGCTATAAATCATTGATGAATGGCTGCTAGGTTCAGTCACTTTAAAAGCATTTTTTATGTATTTAGTAAGGATTTGAGGAATTTTCAGAAACAAAAAGAAGGTAAATAAGGAATATTAGTTTCCACAAAAGCAGATTCAAGTCAACTACCTTAATACCAAAAATATAATTATAGTTTGTAAACTCAAGCTTAATTAGCCTTCATAAGATGTTTCATAAAAGTTTTAAATCAAAGCTTAATTTCTCATTTAGAAAGAATTAAAGCAGTTTGTGTATCATAGTGTGTTCTTTGACTAACTTTAAACTTTTAAATGTTGCTGAAATATTGATAGTTTTAAATTGTTGAAATGGTGTTAAATAACCATGGATTTAATGTTCACAATATTCCATTTTTGAATTTTTAAGGTTTAAGCAGTTATATTTTAACTTTACTAGATTTGGAAAATCGCTATAATTCAACATTTATCCAACACATTACCTGGGGTGAATTTTGTCTCATTATTGTTGCAAGCAAAAAACATTTTGTGTAAATTTAAGCAATAAATACAAAATTGAAATCCAAAAAGGAAACTTTGAAAAAGGTTTTATTGAAAAAAAGTTTTGATGTTTTTTTTCCTCCAAATTTTAATTATTTTTATAATAATTTTTAGTCATTTTTAATATTGATCTTTTTCTATTTATTTATTTAAGTTTCTCTTTTTCAGACTGAGTTTTATTAATTGCAGTCTTCTCTTGATTTCTGGAGTTGGGCTTTCCTACCGGTATATGCAGAGATGAGTGAAGGCATATTTCTATTGGTCTGCATGGACTTAGCTGTAAAGTTTGTATTAAGCAACAGCATTTGTATTTTGTTTTGAGTAAAGATATGATATATGATAATATGACGATGCAATTTGAAAAGATTGGAGTTAGAAAAACTTTGAAAACATAAAATTTTAAAATACGAATCTAAAAAAGGTGTGAAAAAATAACATTAAAAAATGAAGAAAAGAAATTGCAAAAAAAGTGTTTTAACCTCAGAAAATCTCTCAACTTTTACACAAACAGTAGAAGGAGACACATGTATAGCTGTTAATATTTTGACAATTACGACCAATGACCTTTCAAAGTCAAATAATCAGGAACCACAGTGAACCTGGGTCTGATTTAATCTCAGTATAAATACAACCGGTCTGAGAAGAAGATCTCCCAGTAAAGCAGGCTAAAGTTCAAGAAAAAGAGGGCTGAAAAAGATGCACGGCTCAGGGTGGAGAATCTGCTAGCAGGACAGGTATGGCATTTTTTGTGTCGTCTATAAATCCAACTTTGAGAGATAATCAAGAAGAAAGCAATTAGCAGAAGAAAGTCAAACAATTCAATTTTCAGTTTGCCATAAGACAAATAAATGTTCAAATATGTTCTCTGATCAGATAAGACAGAAAGAAAACAGCAATTACTTTCAAAACCCTTTTTAAATAATAACTTTTTTCAATGTTTTTTTAACTGTTCTGCATGTTTCTTTTTAAAATTTCCATTTAGAAAATGTTTTCTTTTTTTTTTCTTTTTTTGTTGTTGCTTGCAACAACAATGAAAAAAAAAAGTAACTCAATACAAATGCCAGCTAGGGGACCTCCTGGCTCTAGAAAAGCAAATCTGTTAACTGTGTTCTTGGCACTGAAAAAGCAGGACTACTTAAAAGTTGTTAAATATTTCTTAAAGACGTTTTTTGTGATTCTGGCTCACAAGTTTTCTCAGATTTTCACATGAATAGTTTGACAAAATCCTAAGCTTTTAAAAAATGTCTTAACATGAAATGTTAGAACTGTAAATTTACAGTCACATGTTTATATTACTGTTTTTATATATTTTTCAAGGCTGGACTTAAAAAAAAAGAAATTGTCCAGAGAGCTGTTCTAAACGAAATTTCTTTTTGTTTTACACTTGTGTAAACAAAATGACAAATAAATCTTTCTAAGTCTAACATTTAACCAACATGCACGATATTATTTGAAACTTCTTTCAGATAAAATCATTTATTTTCAAATGCAACTGGTGGACATTTTCCTAGCAGATCACTGTAAACATTCCAACAACAACTACAGCTTTTAAAGAAACAAGCTTTTTTTTAAATAATATATTAACATTTTTTAAATCCTTTTTTTTTTACAAGGCAAGGAAAATAAAATGAATATTTTAATTTTAATATTTGAGAATTATATTTCAACAAGGAGACATATTTTTCTTGACATAATAAACTTAAGCTTATTTCAATCAGGAGCGTGTTCTGAGTATATCCTACAATGGTCTGCAATACAGCCGCCCGCTTCTCCAGCACATGGGACAGCTGGGAGGTGCTCTAGCGCGCACAGCCGCTCCGCCTCCAAGGCGTTGTGGAAGAAAGGATCACAGTCAAGGGATTGTTCATAAAGACGATATCAATGTGTCGATCATATTGATATGACCAAATACAGCCACGCAAAACAGTGTGCGTGGATTTTAGGATCTAGATGGTGTAAATTGGCCGCGATCCGCGCGCTCTGAAGGGACGCGTCAGAAAACCAGGTTCTGTAAAGCGCCTTGTGTTTACACAGGAACCATCCAAAGCCACGTTTTGGGAGCCCAGCATGCAGCGCAGACTTCATCTGACTGGAGCAGCGCCTCATAAACAATTAGTTTAACTCCCTCTGAGGAGGAGCTGCGCATCGGGTGCGCTTTTGGATAACATGGAGGATTGCAGTTGAAGGCACATGCTGTGCGTGCAGCTAAGCGCCTGGTTATATTAGCGTAAAGTGTGGGTGTGAAAATGGAAACATTTTCAAAGTGATCAGAACTCCGGGCTGCAGGGAATGGTTAGAAAGCGCTTTTAGGTCCGCGTCGCTGTTTGCTTGTTTTGAAGGGAAGAGTGTGCAGGGTGAACATGGAGAACCAGGAGGAGAAGGGGAGCAGGACGGACAAACGCTTCGCCCTGACTTATGTCGGCTGGTGCTCGCTGGACAGGAGGACCACCTTGCCCATGCTGCCGTGGCTGGTGGCTGAGATCCGCCGGAGGGGCGAGAGGGGCGACTGCGGCCCCGTCATGCAGCCCAGAGAAGTTCAGCTGCTGCTCAACCGCCCCTTCGTTCGCTGCGTCCCTTCCAACAGCAGCAACTCCTCTGTTTTCATATTCGAGCACAAAGCTCAGCTGATCTCTCGCTTCATCCATAACAGCAATGACCTCACTTGTTTTTCCTATCTGCTGCGGGGCCAGCCGGACAACTCGGAGTCCGAGATGTCCTGTCACGTCTTCAAGGCCTGCGACCCCAACCAGGTATGCATCCAAGCCATTGGCGACCCTCCAATGAATGGAAAGCCCCTCCATGTGCACCTCCACAGTTTAGCAAACTTTATTGAGGGTAAAGGTTAGTTTGTGTCTGGGCATAAGTATTTTATCAAGTTTCCCTCCCACAACTTATTTTATTATCTTAATCAAGACTAACAGAAAGTTTTATTTTTGGGTCCTTATGCACGGTTAGATTTGGGTTCCCTCACTACAACTAGCAGCATTCAAGAAATTTTGCTTAAATCTGGGTAATTTAGTTGGCTGGACTTTAATGCAATCACAGTTGATTTGATTATCTTTGATAAGATGTATTCATGAAACTGAGGTCAGACACAAAGACAAGGTTAAACTCATTGCATCAGATACCATGTTAACACAACAAATAAACTTCCTTCTTTACACAAAGTAGATTTGCACATATCTGTAGATCTTATATCTTGATAATCTGTGCTGAAATGGCAAAATCCAAAAATTATTTGTCGTTCTGATTTTTAACAAACAAATATAAAACTTTGGATTAGTCCTCTGTGCTAATATTTAAGCAATTATTGGAAGCTCCTGTTTTTTTGAGTTTGCAAAATGTGGCTTAGTTCATTCATGTTTTGGGCCCGGTCTCCCAGTAAGGGAATAAATCCTATTATTTAGCCTTAAAGCTACAGTGTGTAGTAATTACAGGGAAATAGAGTCAGAAATGTAATATATTATACATAACTATGTTATTTATCATCATCTACTAGCTCAGCCTTTTAACCATAATATATGCGTTGCCTTAGAATTCGTTATTTATAATTACATAGGAGCGGGTCTCACAGCCATGGAGGCAGACATCTTTGCGCTACGGCAGCGCAGAGCCAACAAACTAGCGATTGCGAGATCGCCAAAACGTCACAACGATGTAGAAAAAAATAACGGGTATATTTATTATCTTAAGACTACATGAAATCTATACCCTACACAGACTAATGAAATACTATCTGTAAAATTATCTATGTAAACAAACCTCATCACTTGAGAAGGTAGGTGATGCGGACGTCGTGGAAGACATTTTGTCCTGTAACGCTCGCCGTACTGTTGAGGGGGAGAAGCGGTGGGGGGGAGATGTTCATGTTGCTGCAGTCTGACCGCTAGATGTCGCTAAAAGTTACACACTGTAGCTTTAAACAAACATTAAACATTTTTCAAAGACCCCAAATAAAGTCTAAAAGTCCCCCAGAAACACTCAAAAGTTCAAATCCTTTACACGTTTTTTCTTCTTCTTGTCATTATGTAGTATGGCTGCTCAGTGGGTAGCACTGCTGCCTTGCAGCAAGAAGGTTCAGGGTTTGATTCCCGGCCCGGGGTATTTCTGCATGGAGTTTGCCTGTGTTGATTTTGTTTTATTGATGTTGTAGTTGCATTCACTAGGCAGTCCACTAGTCTGGACGACTGGTTTAAATGTTGAAATTGTGCATTGTTGTGTAAGTGGATCTTACATATGAGTATATTTCTATAACAAAAGTAGAAACTCTCAGTTTTAGAGGGTTGTACTTTTTTTTTATTGCATATTTGAAAAGTACAATTACAGTTAGAGGGCTGCTCAGTGACGCGGTGTGTAGCATTGCTGCCTTCCGGGTTCAACTCCTGGCCCGAGGTCTTTCTGCATGGAGGTTTCCTGTTCTCCCTCTGCATGCATGGGTTCTCTCCGGGTACTCCAGCTTCCTCCAACAATCCAAAAACATGACTGTTAATTAGCTTCTCTAAAATCTCCTTAGGTGCATTGTGTGTTTGTCTCGGTGTTGCCCTGCATTGACTGGTGACCTGTTCAAGGTGCCTCTCGCCCGTGGACAGCTGGAGATAGGCACCAGCACACCTTCTGAGCCCAGCTGGGATAAGGGTGATGGAAAATGGATGGATGGAATATACAGTAATAAAACCAATGATTATACAAAAAGTGCCCTTTTGGGCTAAATAATGATAATGTTAGGATAACAATAATAATTGTAATAATAACAATTGTAATTATGATCAAAGATCACAAGTGAATACCTGATAGAAACAAAAACCATTTCAATCTAAAGTGTAAACTGACATTTGAGTTGCTTAGGCCATAAAATAAGTAGACACCATTTAGAAATCACTTGTTTAAGTTTTGTTTGCTTTTGACAAGAGTGATTGCTTCATTAATATCAAAGTGTTCATAAAACAATGATCTCTATTTTGTGTAGATTGTCAGACCAGGGAAAGTGTCTTTCATTGCTGTCCAAAGTCACAAAATGGTCAAATAACCCTGTATTTCTGCAACAAATCAAAATCTGTGAATGGTGAATGAGAGACTTTACTCAGCCTCGACAATTGTTCAATTTTCTATTTTATCTATCTCTGTTGAATAAACATGCAAAAAGCAATTGATTGTTGTTGGATGGAAACCAACTGACTTTTTTTTCTCCCATGTGTTGGTGCCGTCCCCTCTATGTGACCCTCTACTGAACCAGGGGAAGGGTTGTGTAATAAACAATGTAATAGACATAGTTTATAACAATGTTTTTAGCATAAAATAAAACTTGGACACATTAATGAGTTTATGTATATTCCAAACATATTGCCAGGAAGTTTGGTTTATCACTGGATGATAGTCTTACCTTTTAATCTCACATAAACAAAGTATAATTCTAGCTTTTAGTCCAGACATGTTTATTCTAGCATGGAGTATTTAGGCCATGGTTGGTGGGGATGATATGGGGCAGTTAATCCATTCTCTAATTTTATTCAGGGATCACTCTATAGGCTCTGGAAGTCAACAAAGGTCACACTAGTAAATATGGGCATTAAGAAAGTTCTTTATGGCAGAGATTCCCAAATTTTTTGGTTTCTGACCCACAAAATAGAAACAAAATGCAAAAATGACCCAAAGTATTGGCTGGAATACAAAAAACCCCCAACATAATAGTAGTAAAAACAGCATATCAACCAATGTATTTGGTTTCTTCCGTTTCTAAGCAATGCTTCTATCTCCTCAAACAAAAATACGCTTCATTTGCTTCATATTTATTTAGTTACATTTTTTTAGAAGATATTTTTTGATTTGAGTGCCGAAACTTTATAGTATTAGCTTGGATTTTCACGATGGGTTTAAACAAACAAACAAAACCCTAGTTGTCATTTATATTAAGTTTTCTGATACTTTTAGTTGTTGAATGTAACTTCCCTTTTTTGTGTTGATAAAACGCTAGATGTAATTCATCACAACACTAAGATGCCAGATTATACAGCTCCTTATGGGATATTGGTGTCAGTGAAGGCTAACTGAGATCTATATTATTTATTCATGATGCCAATTAAAGTGTTCTGCTTGACAGATGCATTTGAGACATCAAAGGTTTCACTTCTCATTTTGGGATCACTTCATGTGTTGCAGAAAACACTAAATGTAGGTCATCAGGTTTTCTTTTAGAGCTTCGCTGCATTTTGGGCTCTAAGTAGCAACATAAGCATCAGCTTAAGAATTGAAACCCCTTTAACCTTTTCCATGTTTTGTCCTTAAGTAGGCTGTAATGTAACAGCCCAACTAAATGTAGTCTCTAATTAAAAGCTGGAAGGAAAATGAATGAAGTTTTAAAACCGTTTAAAAAAGGAAATACTTTGTAGTAATTTTATGTCTCTAGATAATGAGTTTTAAAGTTAATCATCTGAAGTTATTCCCCAGTTTGTTGATTTGATTTATGTCTGCACTTTGACTGGGGCATTCGAACACACTTTGGTCTCATCAGAGGTGTTTCGGAGCCTCTAAAATGTATCAAACTGCATCCATATTCCCATCAACTGTATTTCCTATCCCTTCTGAAAGAAATAATGGGAGCTGTTTCTTTATGCTTTGCATTGGGGTTTGCTTGTACTGCTAAAAAGTTAAATTCTGGTCTCATCTGATCAGAGAACATATTTGAGTATTTGTTTGTCTTATGGCAAACTGAAAATTTAATTGTTTGACTTTCTTCTGATAATTGCTTTCTTCTTGATTATCTCTCAAAGTTGGATTTATAGACTGCACAAAAAATGCCATCCTGTTCTGCTAGCAGATTCTCCACCCTGAGCCGTGCATCTTTTTCAACCCTCTTTATCTTGAACTTTCACCTGCTTCACTGGGAGATCTTCTTCCCATACCAGTTGTATACTGAGATTAAATCAGACCTAGGTTAACTGTGGTTCCTGATTATTTGACCTTTAAAGGTCATCGGGTAAAAATTATCAAATTTTAACAGGTATACATGTGTCTCCTTCTACTGTTTGCGTAAAAGTTAAAAGATTGTCTGAGGTTAAAACACTTTTTTTGGGGATTTTGTGGCAGATCTCTGTCTTTGTATTGTATTTTTCTTTTAAATCAGCTTGTATTGTCAGAAATGGAGCTGTCACAATCTGTGTAAAGGAGAAATTTCTCCTGAAATCTGGACAGGCACTGTTTTGAGTCAGCACAATTTGATGCTGATCAGCATGCCAGTCTTGAGTAATAAACTGAAATGTTGAAAGCATCCAAAAACCAGGAACGTGGGAGTCGGTGTTTGAAAAGCAATGTGCAATCTTGCTTTCTTATCATTTCTGAAAAGGCCGGACCCTGTGGTTCAGAGCCTCTGAGCTAACGAGTTCACCCCCGTGGCTTTGATGAATGTTGGGAGCCTGGTTGTAAATTAACAATAAAAAAGAAAACCTGCAAGTCTATTGCACAATTTGCTGGTTTGTTTTTGTACATCTTAAAAGCAAAGTGCACAGACCTGATTCCTTCTAAGCTCGCAACCTAATCTGAAGCTTCACACTTAATGGTGTTTTTCTTGTTTCCCCAGTGACCCCGGAACATTAACAAATACTGCTCACAGATATGCTCGGGTTTTGCTCTAATGTCAAGGATGCCTGCGTCGTATCATGTTTCCAGCAGTATAAGCAGAGCTTGAGCACAGAGCTTGTTTTGGTGCTCTAAAATAGGAGCAGAAGTAGTTTGCAGCCTGCCAGCTGAAGTCTAA